GACTCAAGATTTTTAATCCCTTTGGTGCAAATTGAGTGCTCATTGTATGCCACCAAACAAGGGACCCGAAAGCAGACCCAATATAACAAGTATAATCATACGGGATTTATCATCTACGATGAATATATTTTCTTTTGTGACATTAGATTGCACAAAGAGAGATGTAATGAGAATTTCTAATAATAACTTCATAAATTAATCATACGAAGGAAAAACAATAGTACTCAAAGGTGATTTTATCCAAATTCTTTCAGTTTTAATCATAGCTTTGAGAGAGGAAATTGTAGGTGCTACCACCAATTTCTCATAAATGTGGTTGTATTGTAAAATTTATACGTTGACAAAAAATATGAGATTGCATTAATCTATACTCTCTTGCACAAATTTTTTCTGATTGGATAATCAAAGTCGAAGATAGAAAATTTAGACAAGTGATCAATGGAATTGCTCGCGTTGAAATCCCGCCTGAATTCTTGATTCTTGACATAAGTTATCACCTCAAGAGAACAATGGAATTCACTTATCCGAACCTACTAGAGAACATGAAAAATTATTTTTTTAAGGATAGTGTAATGTTATCACTCACACCCGAGTTTGTTGAATGGTAAATGAATTTGTCATATCCCTTATTCTAGGAGGTGAAAAGGAGTACTTAAGTTCTGATTCTTCATGCAAAGTTAACAACTGAATAACACTTCAATTTTTTAATAAAATCAAATGTTCGTGGATCCTAAACCACAAAATAGTTTTTAAAAAGGGGGTACCGATTATGTCATTGAAGAACATTGCCCAAATATCTGGATTTTGTAATGGTATAAGATTAATCGTTGAGAAGCTGAGAAAGAACATTATCACTGCAATTGACGTTTCGAGAAATCAGTTGGGAAAAAGATTTATATACCCCGAGTGAATTTGGTATCATTTGATTCAGAACTACCCTTGAAATTCTTGAGAAGACAATTCTTAATATTCTTATATTTTGTTATGACTATTAACAAAAGTCAAGATCAAACATTGTCTTTTGTTGTATTATTTTTAATTAATTCAATATTTACTCATGGTTAGCTTTATGTTACTTTTTCACGAGTGAAGGCAAAGACATAATTAAAAATATTGGTTCTCGATGATAATGTAAATTCTTACAACCATACCAAAAATGTTGTGTACTCTAAAATCTTTGAAAAAATTGGAATTAAAAAAAGATTTTTTTGAGTACACTTTCAATTCCTCAAATATTATTTATTCTACTTTGTCGTTGTTGTTCATTGATTAAAAATCGTGTTAGAAATATATTTTATTTATTTCCGAAAAATATATTACATTGAAAAAAATTGGAATCGACAAAAATTTTGTTCGACCCCGTGCGTCACACGGGTCAAGATCCACATTGTAGAATCGAAAAAAATTTCGTCCGAACCCGTGCGTAGCACGGGTAGAAATACTAGTATATATATATCCTTTATATATAAAAAAGGAGAGTTGAGTCTCTAAGAATTTGACATGTGGCATGCTTATGTGGCCTTTTTTTAACACTTAACATGCCACCTAATTTCTCTTATAAAATTAAAAGTTGGATAAGAAATATTTGAGTAAACTTAAAAATGGAAAAAAGTCTTTCTTTTTATGATAATATGTTGTCCCAATTCTATACTTTTTTTCTCTTTATTTATTACAAAACGTTTTAATGAGAAAAATATGGTCTCTTCACCTATAAATAAATTTTATATTTCTTTAAGATACATGTAAATAAATGAAGTTAGTTTGATAATATTTATTTAAATATTAACACCTAATAAATAAATTATTGTTATGGTTTGAAATCTTTGAATAAATTTAATTATGAGATAGGAAAATTCATTTTTTATAATAGTATTCTTTCCCAATTTAATATTTTTTACTCTCTTCATTTAAAATTACACTTCTAATTAATTTTAAAACTACATTAAAGTATATTTTCTTAAAAATTACATTAAGAAATTTAAAAACAAGAGATGATTGATCTATATTTGTGTTAAATTAGAAAAATATATTATAAATAACTCCATAGTTAGAATTAATTTTTTCTAATTTGATTTATCACTAGAGAAATTATGTTTATAGTCCTTAGATGATTTATTATATAAATTAAAAAATATATTATGTTTAATTATCTTCTATTATATAATAAAATTGATCAAAAAACTGTGTCACCATGAAATGCTATGTTCAAGCTAACTTTCTTTACAATTTCTACATCATTGACTGAATTTAATCTTTATATACTCCATATATAATTTGGTAGTTGAGCTTCTAGAATGACAACATTTGGCATGCTGACTGGATATTTTTAAACACCTCAAGAGCCATGTCATCATTGACTTCTATGTATTTTTTTATGCATTGCGTTTAAGGCTATTTTTTTGAGGGATGACCTTTACTTCTTCGCGCAAGATCATATTTTCTCTGTTTCTTCTTCTGCAAAATTTATTAAAAGAATTTATGGTATTAATTGTTATAAATGTGTTACATTTATAAAATGTTATTAAATACTAATTGTTATATTCTTGGTTAAAAATTAAGTATTGTATTCTTATATGATTCATGCTTTATTTATAAAAGAAATACATAGAATTTGAAAATTACTCTGTATATAAGTTATTTATTGTTAAAAGATAGAAAACTATTTAATATCTACGTGCTAAAAGATAATATTACAAATATGTAAAGGCAGATGAGTTATACATGTCCCGTAATGCCTTTTTTAAAATAATACATGCCTTATTTATATAAAAAAGTAAAAAATAATCATCTTAGAACTTAACATTAATTTTTACATACTTTTGTACTCTTAAAAAAATCACTAGCAATTCGAGTTTCCAAAAATTAAACAAATATCAAATTCATATTAAAAACAAAAACAAATATGTAGGTGAAAAATATTTTAAAGAGATGAATAAATGATATTCAAATACAATTTTCCTAAAAACAAAATAATGTAACCCCAATTTTTAAATATTTCTTAAAAAATAAAACATATACCGCATATATTAAAAGATAAAAAATTATAAATTGATAAACAATGCATTTTTATTATATAATAAATGTCTTATAAATATTGGAATGAAAAAAAAGTAATAACAATTTGACTACACTAAAAAAATACAAAAATGTCAATTAAATTGATGTAAGAAATTGATGTCGATTAAATTGATGGCCTTTAAGCTATTAATGAATAAAAGATTTTAAAATCTTTAATATATGTGCTTATACCATGAAGGTTAAAAGACATAAAAATTATATATGATCCTCATTGTAATGTTTATTGCATATCACATGGCTTATTTATATTAAATGGAAAATAAATGATAAAAAGCATTCATACACACCTCAAATTGTAATATCTTTGAGGTTAACATTGTTTTTCAAATACTTCTACACTATTGAAAAAATTCACTAGCAACTTGACTTCACCAAAAAATAAACGATTGTAAAACAATGTAAAAAAAATAGCTAATATTTATTTGAAACAGAAAAATAAATCATATCCAAACTTTGGCGGAAAATAAAGTTACATATTAAATTTTAAATAAGAGAGGAAAACTTTGGTGGAAAATAAAAATGTTGTATGATTTTCTTATGCATAGAATATAATAATGTATTGTTGATATATATAGAATCATATGTAATTAAATGTTCTATAATTATATAGAATTAAATGTTATAGAATCATATACATTAAATGTTATATTTTTTCTATGTATTTTTTTAATAAATCATATATTATTTATGAATACAACATTTAATTTCTAACCAAGAATATAATAATTAGTATGTAAGCCAATTTATTGATTTGGCCTCCGGGATGCATTAATAACAACTAATATTATATCATAAATATATCAATTAGAAACACTAATTAAAACTAACTTATTACACATAAATATATTGTACCAAATTTTAACATTTTAAATAGTTATTATTGAAAGATAATAACTTTTGTGACACAAATGTGACAATTTTTTCAAAGCTATTAATGGAAAGTAATTATTTTAAAATGAAAAATAGTAATTTTAAAATGAAACACAAGTTTTATTAGAATTAGAATGTTTTTAATATATACAAAAAAATAATTAATGTTCTATTAAAAAAATATGGCATTAAAAGTTCCTTTCTTTATATATATAGTTTTTATTTTTACGAAATTGATAAATAATGCTTTAAATATTAGCTTATATAAGGATTAATAATAATAATATTATAATTAATATTACTATTTCTATTCTTATTATTATTATTTTAATTATTATTATTATTATTATTATTATCAACATCGTTTAGGGACCAACTTTTAATCGTCATTTTTTTTATTTTTTGTGTAGTCAAATTTTTAGTGGTTTTTATTTTTACATTTTAATACACATAAAAAAAATGTGACCAAAGTTTTTATTTTCAAAAAGCTATCATGTATACAAATTAATGAATAAATTTATAACTCGTGGGTAAATAAAGTCTGAATAAAAGATGTACTTCTCCATAAAATATATATTAATACACTATTTTGTTTATGATAGAAATTACATATACAAATGGAGAGATATCGTCATCGGCTATAACCTCACATAATTTAACCCATTTCAGAAAGAATGTACTCTGTGATGTGACAAATGATAATTTTTTTAAATTTTAAATTTATCATTTCCATTACATTTTTCCTAAAAATATTATCAATACACAGCATTAATCTGGGAATAATTCTACACCCACTTCATCACGCTTTCAAGTGCATAAGAGATAAAATAGAAATGATATTATAAAAAATGTACTCAAATACTGTGTGAATGGTTTCGGTGGAACTGGAAAAACATTTATTTGGAAATCACTGTCTGCTTCTCTGAGGTCAAATGGTAAGGTTGTCTTAAATGTCGCATCAAGTGTGATTGCAACTGATGGATACCCCGAACAGGGGGTATCCGATCTTTGTATAATATTAGTTGAGGCGGTCCAGTCTGTTGGACCGACCTATTAGTTGTATGTTAATTATTTATTTAAGGGCGGCCCAGTCTGTTGGGCCGGCCCATTATTCGTATATTTGTTATTTAGGGCGGCCCAGTCTGTTGGGTCGGCCCATTAATCCGAAACCCTAACCCTAGCTCCTCTATTTATACTCCTCTTCTTGGAAGAGGAGAGGGAGGTGAAAAAAGAGGGAGGCTCACCATTATTCATCATCTTCTTCGTCTCTACACACATTTCTCCTTCTTTTCCTACCCTTGGGTTCCATAACCCAACATTGGTGCTCTCATTGAGAGATCGAACGCATTAAGCGTGCTCTCTTTCTCTTTTTCTCTTCAATTTTCTTTGGTTTCTTTTCCTTTCTTTGAAGAAAAAAAAAAGGTAAAGCCACTGCCGGAACTTCCAATTAACAGCCCGTGGAGATGTACGCTTCCAGCGCCACCCGCCCTGTGGGTTTCTGCAATTCGGCCCCCGGTGGCGGAGACGGCGATGCTTATGGCCCTTTCGGGCGCCGCGCTGACCTCTCGTCGGAAGCCGACGCCGCCTGCATCGGGAAGCCCGTGCTCCAACCACAAAGCGGCCCCACATGTTCACGCCACGAGGAGCGTTCTTCCTCCTACTGCTCCGCGGACCTGCGGTGCTCCAATTCCAGCAGATGGCGCTACCCACTGTGCAAAGGCCATGGGACGAGGCACTCCTCGTGAAGGAATGTTGAACCTGTGACGTTGGGCCTGAAGCAGATTACAGACTCCAAGAGTTCCGATCTTGGCCTCTTGGTCTTAGAATCATTTTGAGAGTGCCGATTTGAGCTCCTGGAGATACAGATCCAAGATGCCAGGTCCCAAGATACCGCTAGCAGATCCCAGTCTGGGCGGAGCCACGGGGTCAAATTGCGACCAGATCCGGGCGGATAGTAGGGATCTTACATGGAGCTGAGAAAAGGGACCTCTACGGATCTTCATCGCCCTCACTTTCACTTCCCCAAGGAGCAGCTTCTGTCTTTCTAGGGACCAGTCGACTAGCTGCACTCCAATTGGCGCAAATCGTGAAATCCACCGTGCAGAGGCTCTCAAAATTCAGATTCCAAAACTTGATGGTAGATCGCAGGTGCCAAGGTGCCGCCAGCAGATCCCGATCTGGACGGAGCCACTGGGTTGAATTTCAACCCGACCCGGACGGAGCTCTCTCCACCGTCCACGGTGCCCAGACGCGGCCTAATAGCTTCAGCGGCTCTGGAGTCTACTACAGCTATTCCTGTAGTCCGCTCCCTGCTTCGTTCAAGTTTCCGGCGACTCTGTTCTCTTTTGCGGCGGAGGTGCTGCTATTCGTGTTCGTGGCGGTTTGATGAGGCCGCCCGTACATGTCTCTAGGGTCGCCATCACCAACGACACAAGATCTTGCAATTTCCGATGACGGGTGAAGTTCCTTCGCGTCGCCGGCGGCGGTGACCGTTAAGCAACCGCGTGAACTCAGTGATGGAGGAACCGCCGTCGAGCCATCCTCTGCTGCCGCGACCAGCGCCGGTGAAACCCCAGCAGCGTCTGACCACCGCTCCATGAGTTGACGGCCAAATGGTGAGCCATCGCCGGGGCAGCGATGATAGTGGGATGCAGTTGGGAACGCAGCCCAGATCAAGAGTTCATGGCAGAGGACGGAAGGTGCAGCGGACGGGGGTAACAGCAGGTTTGATTGCGGGGGAAGAGGTCCCCTGCCGAATTCGACGAAAACGAAGGAAATTTGGCCGACGAGCATTGGGCTCCTCGACGACGACGACGACGGAATGCTGACAATGAACGTGAAAAACAAGATGATGAGGGTCACGTGACTTCATAGATCTGCGGCTGGTCATGATCTTCCATTGGGAAAGGGATGAAAATCTGCTCTCCTGCCTGTAAAGAAGAAAAACCAGGCAAGTGGCATGCCCCTTTTTTATTATTATTGCTCCGTACTAAAAAGAGGATTGTCCAAGATCACCAATGAATTTTAGAAGTGACACCTCACTATTATTACCCCATTTTCAAAAAGAGGGCCATATTCATACTCCGCAATGACGATCCAAATTTGAAGAGAAGGGGGTGGTTCACTTTATTGTGATAATCCCTTCAACAAAACAAAATATATAAAGTGGGTCTACCTGCTACTACTATACTCCATACTCATTTCATGTTGTGTACAATTTGTTACATTTCTATTGGAATTTATACAAAGAGATAAGTAGCTGAGAGGGATCCATTAATTGAGATTTGCTGTTGGGGCAACCTCGAGGAGAGATGCCCGACGTCCATCGTCACTGTTTTGGCCTCTTCACCCGGGTCCAGAGTGGACTCTATATTTCTCTCTCTCCTTTTATGCATTTAAGTCAAAATCTCATACGGCCGAGTGCGTGACAACTCCGAAGGTCGAGCTCATAATTTCTAGTGGGGCTAAATCTGAACATGGGAGGGTGATCAAGTCCGAGTACAAGATCATGACGAGCAGAGTTCGTGCGGCAGTATTGTAAGATCCAATTCAGCGGTGGCGGTCTTAGTCGGCCGAGTCTGCTGATGCCGATTGTACTATGTTCAGCCAAATATATGTTCTGATTCAAAATAACTTGAGGGGCCTTGTGAATTTTGTCCCATCCTTCTCTTCATTGGGCAGAGTACATGTTCTGATATCCGACTACGATGATCTCCATCACCTCTGATCTCACCGGGCTGCGACCCACCTTCATGGTTCAGCTGAGATACACCAACTCCTTATTTATATGATTCCTACTCAGATTTGCATCACATTTGCTTCTACAACTTGGATAGTTCGAAAGAAGAAAAGAAAAAGAAAAATCATTATAAAAAAAAATATATCGCTTCCACGCGATTTCATTTTCGCTTCCACGCGACTCTGTGCAGCTGTGCACCATCGGGCTTCCACGCCACGATATGGCCTCACGCGGTCCTCGTCATTGCGCGAGCAAATCCCTCCGGAGGGTATTGCAAGGTCCTGCTTAGGACAAAATCTTGCCAGTCCTGCTTAGGACAAATATTAGATCTGCTGAGATCGCACTTTTACGCTTCCACGCGTCATCGGCACCACGCCGCTCCAATAAAAAAAACGAACAAAGCAACAACGACGAAGGAATTTTTCATATTTTGTCTTTCAGGCACAAAGCAGAAGACCACATGACATTTGCAACCGAGCTCGCCTAGCAGAGCTCCCGGATGGAACATTATCTCAGCTTTTCCCAGGGTCGGCCTCAGCCACCTTGCAAGTTGCCTAAGCCCTCGTCTCCCGAGGCACTAAAACGTCCTTCCTCGAGGTCGGCCCCGTCCACCTCACAAGGCATTTAAGCCCTCGTCTTTCGAGGCACCAAAAAGTCCTCTCCCGAGGTCGGTCCCATCCACCTCACGAGGCACTCAAGTCCTCGTCTCCCGAGGAACCCAAAAGCCCTCTCCCGAGGTCGGCCCCATCCACCTCACG